GGAGGGCGGGGGGGGACCGGGGGGTGCTCCGATCCCACGGGATGCGGCTGCCAGCCCAAGGGCCGGCAGGATGGGGGGGTCCAGCCTTGGCACTGGGGGGGTCCTGTGTCCCCAGCAGGACGGGAGGGCTCTGCCCCCCTCTCCCACCTAGGAAGAGGGGGAGCTTCCCCCCCCCTCGTTCCGTGGCACCCTCTCCCTGCAGCAGCCCGGGGGCTGCTCCTGCACCCGGCCAGTCCCTGTATCCCGGCGGAACGGGGCGCTTCACGTCCCCGGGTCCTCGGGAGAGGAGCTCGCTGTCCCCACGTGCCCGGCGCAACGCGGGGCACGGSGGGGGTCGTGTCTTGCCCCCCAGCAGCACGGGGCACCACGTCCCTCTGCGCCTGGCACCCCCCGGCTCTCCCGCTCCGCAGCGCGCCGGGGGGCTCCGTCCCCGCGCCAGCTCCCCGGTGCCCGCTGCCAGCCCCGGCACTGCGGCGCGCGGCCGGCAGATGTCCCCCCCAGCCCGGCTGGCACCGCCGCCGCTGGCACCGCCGCGCCCGCCTGGCACCGGCCGCCGGGGCCGCCCGCCGGGGCTCCCCGCGCGCGCCAGCGCCGCGGCCACCGGCGCCGCCGATGCTCCTGCCGCCTAACGCGGGCGAGCCCGGGCACCGGGGACCCAGGGCGGGATCGCGGCGAGGGGCAGCAGGACGGGAACAGCGGCCGCTTTGCCCGGCCCTGCCTCAGTTTCCCCACCCCCGGGGCACGCGGCGCCACCGCCTCGAGGCCGAAGGCTCCGCGGGGCCGCCTCGCTCAGCGCCGGCCGCCAGCGCGGACCAGTTTGCAGCCTCCATTCCCAGAAGAAAGAATAAAGTTAAAACATCTGTTAATTTATAAACCAATTTAACCATGACTGGTTAATAAATAGCTAACAGCTGCCAGAGCCGCTACCCCTCGGCTCAGGAGAGGGGCACGCGGGGATGGCGGAGATGAGCAGATGAACCGCGCCAGCTCGCGGCATCTCATCCCTGAATTTCGGGAATATCGTGGTGCTTTTTCCTGCCCCACCAGCAGCATCCATCTCCGGGATGCGGGTGGCCGTGCCGGTTGTCCCCAGCTCCATGTGGGGCACGTGGAGGCCGTGGTGTGAGGCTGGGCCCTGCTCTCCCCAGGTAGGGCGCAGGCAAGGAAGGGTTTTGCTGGCACGGTGCTGCAGGAGGAGGTGGCACTTTCCTGCGGTGGCGGCGGTGGGGAGGGATCCTGCAGAGGGGACTTTCAAATGCAAATCCATAAAGGGAGGAACATATGGGTTTGGCAGCGCCTGGGAAGGTGCCCGTGCTGGGTGGCTCTGTGCCCGCCTGTGCCCCTGTGCCGGGGAGACCCGCAGCCCTGAACCGGGGCTGGTCCCAAAGGGCACCTGAGCAAGAGGGTCCAGCTCGTGCTTGTGCTCCAGCACTCGCGTGTGCGTGAGGGGCAACGTCTGTGCACGSGGTGTGCAAGAGTGGGGTGTGCAAACACGGGGTGTGCAAGTGTAGCACGTGCATGGCGTGTGCAAGCATGGGGTGTGCAAGAGTGAGGTGTGCACCGGGTGTGCAAGCGTGGGGTGTGCATGGGGTGTGCATGCTTGGGTGTGCAAACATGGCACGTGCAAGCATGGGGCGTGCAAGTGTGGCACGTGCATGGCGTGTGCAAGCTTGGGTGTGCACAGGGTGTGCAAGCGTGAGGTGTGCGAGCAGGGGTGTGCAAGTGTAGCATGTGCAAGCATGGCATGTGCACGAGCAGTAAAAGTGTGGGGTGTGCAAGCATCAGATATGCGAACATGGGGTGTGAAAAGGTGGGGTGTGTACAGGGTGTGCAACCASGGGGTGTGCATGGGGTGTGCGCAGAGCACACAAGCACAGGCAGCTGCATCCCCACATCACAGCCCAGGACCCGCTGTCTCTCCTGAGGATACCAGGATGTGATGTTTGGGACAGGGCCAAAGAGAGGCCAGGATGWCACCATTTCTTGGGGATGGGGACAGCAGTGTCCTGCCCAGCAGAGCATCCTCAGGGCCTGGTGGCCCTGGGCGCAACGTGGAGGAGGGGACTGAGTGGCGGGGATGGGGTGGCCAGACCCCCTCTCCTCACCACACGTCCCCTCTGTGGGTGCGGGGCCGACCCGGCCGCGGGGGCACAACACATGTCGCAATAGTAATGTAATTTGTAAGTTAACAATGGGCAGCTTGAGGTTTATATTTAATTACAACGTTTGCACCAACCTGAACTCACCCTTATTCATCAATAATGCATGGGTTTGTGTTTATCGCCGCTTAATTAATCTGTGCTTACGACAATTAAAGGCTTGC